AGCTAATTTCTCTGACACCGGCCTGGCCGCAAATTGCACGTGTCTGAGAACTTCTCCATACATCACAACATGCTGTACATGCTAGGATTCCCCGCTGTTGCTTAAATGTATCGCTTTAAGTACTTCAGGTAGTGCGATTTCTCTGTCCGATATATCTCGATCTGCAGAGCGAGGTACTCAGCAATAGTTACAGTCCTTCGGAAATCTGTACTTGGTGTGGTTGATGTGATTAACATGGTGTGATTTTTAATCTGGGCCTCCTCCGGACCAGATAGCTGTAAAGTTTCGGAAAAAAACGTTGCACCAAATTCGGTGTCTCCGATAAACACTGTGTTGTTTCCCTCGCAACATATCGAAGCCATTAGTCTTCAGCCGGTCCCAGGATGATCATTCTGTCACTATTTGCCGGCCCGGTACCTGGTCAGCATTTTGGGATGCGGTTCTTTTTAATCAAGTGATGCCAAGACGATACTCATTCCTGCCCCAAAGGCCAGATAGCGACATGAAGAGTAGATCCAGGAGCAGGGGGGCGTCATTAATCACATGGCGTGCTGCTGATTTCTCTGTGACCTCGCCTCCATTAAGCTACGAAGATCAGGATTTATGTGGTGGGGGGGGGCTCTGTGTAGTGAACCCCCCCCCCCCCCGCTTGATTTATCCTCATGGGTCCGAGGAGAGATTCAGTTGGGCTGTAAGCGATTGATACAAATCGATATGCTGGGACGCCACTTGCTTATAAAACGACTGTCGGCACATGGAAATGCTGAGTTATGTAACGGAGAGGCCCCAGACCCCCACTCGGGGGGGTTCAGTCAGGAGGCGTTTGGCGTTTGTGGTGTCTGGGGGAAGGAGGCCCTCCTGGCCTGGCTAATGGAGGGAGAGTGGAGCGCTCCGTTAGGCCGGGGACTTGGCCCCCTCCTTATCATGCAAGACCCGCGGCCGCCGGCGGTCTGTCTCAGAGTCTGTCTCTTCTAGACTGTTGGCGGCATGAAGCTTTTTTGGGAGCGTCAGGAGAGCGCGGCTTCCCGCCTCGCCTCAGGAATGGCAGTCATCATCGCGTGCTTTGATACTTTCTTACCCCGGAGGGGGCACTCGTTTCCCCCAGCGTCAGCAGTCCTGTACGTACCATGTGACTTCTGCAGCCAATCAGAGGCCCTCTGATGCCTGTTCCCTTCTGCCTTCCCCAGAGGTATTGATGCTGTGCGTCTACGTTTGTTTTTCAGTGTTCTGTGACGCTCCATGCTTGCCAAGCTGCTGTACATGAATGTACTTTCGGGGGGTCACATGATCACACTCATCACATGATCACACTCATCACTATATTTAGAAAATCAATAAAGCCAACATTACACAGTATGCAGCATTTGAGAAACACACACCATCCCAAGAGAGTCTTGATGTCTCTAAATTGATTCTTGCCACTCCAGATGTTTACTTTTTGCACGTTTTTTTGGCATGAACCTATTTCTGGCGTGTTTAGAGTCGGTGTCCCTGCTGGATTTCCTGACTCTGTTGTGCATCTCAGGAGTCCATGGCCGTTTCCCCAACCGCAGTCAGCGAGCTTCCGGCGTGGGGTCATTTCACAGAAGCCTGGGATGAAAACAGCGGTGGTTACATTACAGGACACAAGCTGACAGCCACAGTTTACCTTTTAGCTGCATGTGCTGGGAAAAAGTTAATAGAGATAAACGTTACATGATGAGGTCAAGTGTGTTAAGTAAAGCGGCACCGACTGTTATTGTTTTCCTGAGTCTAATTTCTCGGCTGGTGATGTAACAGAGAGGGCCGTCCCATCTCGCTCCATCATCAGGACGGTGCAGCATCATGAATCTCCAACTGCAGACCAAATAAACAGCTTCAACTCCAGAATGAAGCTTTAGCTCCAGAATTTAGGTCCATGCCTAATTCAGGTGGGATTAAGATGCTTCCGCAAGAGTGTGTTTTATTCTCTTGTGAGCAAGAGAGCCAGCTAATGAAGAATGAAGAAGGGGTGCAGCCATTGTTATGAAATGTTTCCAGGTGCATTGTGGGATGGTGAGTCCTAACATACTTGTTAAGATGAAGTGGCACTATTTTCCATTTGCATAAGTATAAGAAAAGGTACATCACTGGAATTCTTTCATTTCTGCATATCATCACATCTTTCTCTTCTTCTTCTAAACACATATGTATGTGTGAAAGTGAAGCGTAGACTCTGAACTGGTTAGCCAGCATTTTTTTTTTTGTTTTTTTTGGGGGGGGGGGGTTAAAGGCCTTGCTCACGGGTCCAGTGGAGATGTGGCTACTCTGCTGAGCATGGGATTTGAGCTGGCAACCTTCCGTATGGAAACCTAACCAACTCAGCCACATGGTGCCCCCCCCCCCAGATGGATGCCCTTAATGCTGCTGCTGTAGGTTATGGGCTGAGACATGCAGCTGTGCTGAGGAACATTCATATCCTGCTGTTTCTGAGTGTCTCGGCCTTTCGTTTGGTGATGGACGCTCCATCTCCTGCTTCTTCTTGTCATCTTTTGCAGTCTCTCTCTTCACATCACCATTAATCGTTCTTTGAATGAGTAAGTCCTCCAGTGCCAGCACCAGCAGAGTTCAGTGTTTCTGCTGCTATGGACAGAGAAGCTGGAGAATCACCGTGCCGAATGGACCCTGTGGATTAGCTGACCCCGTTGTGATGTTCACCTGCAGTGCTCTTGGTTCTGTTAGTTTTCCATGACAGTGTCTAGTCCAGTGTTTCCCAATCCAGTCCTCAGAGACCCACAGTCAGTCCATCTGGCAGAGTGAGGGTGGGGGGAGAGAGGAGAATGCGGAGGGAGGGTGGGGGGAGAGAGGAGAATGCGGAGTAAGAGGCGCTTTATACTTAACATGACATTCAGGCAAAATGAAATGGAACATGAAGGTCAGAACAATCTGTCGCTACCTTGTTCATTCTACACTTACATTCACTTCCACAGCCACAGGTGTATAAAATCAAGCCCCTAGGCATGCAGGCTGCTTCTACAAACATTTGCAATGGAATGGGTCGCTCTCAGGAGCTCAGTGAATTCAAGCGTGGTACCATGAAAGGACACCACCTGTGCAATAAATCCATTTGTGAAATTTCCTCACTACTAAATATTCCACGGTCAACTGTTAGTGGTATTATAACAAAGTGGAAGCAATTGGGAACAACAGTAACTCAGCCACGAAGTGATAGGCATGCATGTATAATCACAGAGCGGGGACAACACATGCTGAGGTGCACAGTGTGCAGAAGTCACCAACTGTCTGCAGAGTCAATAGCTACAGTCCTCCAAATTTCGTATGGCCTTCAGATTAGCTCAAGAACAGTGCTTAGAGAACTTCATGGAATGGGTTTCCATGGCCGAGCAGCTGCATCCAAGCCTTACATCACCAAGTGCAGTGCAAAGCATTGAATGCAGTGGTTTAAAGCAGGCCCCCACTGGACTCTAGAGCAGTGGAGACATGTTCTCTGGAGTGATGAATCACGCTTCTCTGTCTGGCAGTCCGATGGATGACTCTGGGTTTGGCAGTTACTAGGAGAACGGTACTTGCCTGACTGCATTGTGCCAAGTGTAAAGTTTGGTAGAGGGGGGGTTATGGTGTGGGGGTGTTTTTCAGGTGTTGGGCTTGGCCCCTTAGTTCCAGTAAAAGGAACTCTTAATGCTGCAGCATTTGAAGCCATTTTGGTCAATTTCATGCTCCCAACTTTGTGGGAACAGTTTGTGGATGGTCCCTTCCTCTTCCAACATGACTGCGCACCAGTGCACAAAGCAAGGTCCATAAAGACATGGATGAGCGAGTCTAGTTTAGAGGAATTTGACTGGCCTGCACAGATCCCTGACCTCAACCCAATAAAACACCTTTGGAATGAATTAGAGCGGAGACTGCAAGCCAGGCCTTTCTCATCCAACATCAGTGCCTGACCTCACAAGTGCCTGGAAGAATGGTCAAAAATTCCCATAAACACACTCCTAAACCTTGTGGACAGCCTTCCCAGAAGAGCTGAAGCTGTTATAGCTGCAAAGGATGGGGCCAACTCCATATTAAAGCCTATGTATTAAGAATGGGATGCCATTAAAGTTCATGTGTGTGTAAAGGCAGGTGTCCCGATACTTTTCGTAATATAGTGTAAGTAAGTAAGTAAAATTTATTTATAAAGCACATTTAAACACAGCTATTGCTGACCAAAGTGCTGTACACCAATAAATAATAAAATAAAATAAACATTAAAAATTTACAAAACAAAAAATGAATGTATTGTATGTCACACCATGCTCACATACAGAGAGCAAATAAACGTATTGTGGCATGTGCGCGAGTCATTTTAATAAAGGAGATGACAACTCTATTAAAATGGATGTTGCTTTAATAACAGCCAGTATTGATTTAATACTACATGCGGCACAGACAGGGAAGCCCCTGTTATAATAGTTTAAACAACACTTGCAGATACTCACGTATCCCATGGCAAACATTACAGTTACATGGTACTATGAACAGAAATACTCAAATGCTTTGTTATTTACACTATTCAAAGTGCAGTGCAGTGCAAAGCATGCTGGTAACTGCATACTGCATAATTATTTGGTCATGCCGACCAATCCTGCGGCATTACATTTATGTCAGCCAATCACGGACAGGGGGTGGAATCAGAATAAATCCTAACGTTTACCTTGGGGACCCCTAAACAGGTGGTACCCCAAAATGGCAATCAACGTGGTGATTACACATCGTATGACGTCTAACTGCCAAAACGACATGGATTCCGTCAAATTCATCTTGAAGAATGTGGCCAGCTTAAGGGTGGGGGGAGGCGGTGAATGCGGATTAAGGGTGGGGGCCTTGTCCTGCAGCCTTTCTTTTGTAAAGGACTTTGCCTTTTTTGTATATTTATATTATTCTCCTGAGAGCAGTTACAGCAGCACCGTGATTTGCATTCCGAGGTGGGAAGAGCCCCCCCCCTCCGATAACGCCAATGTCTGTCTCCACCTCCTGCCTCGCAGTGCTGGTTCCCTTGGCCTCCACCAGGAAGTGTGGCTCCATCTACAAGGGCTTTGCTCAGTGCCTTCTAGCCCTGGGCGACAGCATGGCTGACAGTGTGCAGAAGGACGAGGGCACGCAGGAGATCGACACCGTCTGTAGGTGGGCATCAGGCCGGACAGTGCCAACCAGGGGTCAGACCCGCATTGCTAGGCAACCTGAGTGACTTGGATGTGGAAACCAGCTGTAGTGTTACCTCTATACTTAATGATCTATGCTACACATATTTACACACAAACACACACACACCAAACAAAATATGACACTTTTGTCGTTTTTTGTTTTTTTGATTACAGTGAAATATTTTATAAAACTGAGTTTCCTCTTGTAAGGACCAAAAAATGCTCCTCAGAACATCAAAATAACAGGTCTTTATCATATTTTTGGGACATTTGGTCCCCACAACGTAATATACACAAACACACACACACACACACCAAACAAAATATGAGACTTTTGTCGTTTTTTGTTTTTTTGATTACAGTGAAATATTTTATAAAACTGAGTTTCCTCTTGTAAGGACCAAAAAATGGTCCTCAGAACATCAAAATAACAGGTCTTTATCATATTTTAGGGACATTTGGTCCCCACAACGTAATATACACAAACACACACACACACACACACACACACCTCCATAACCACACATAGCCAATAACCAATAACAAGGAATCTTGGATTGTATCTTCAAATTGCTCTAATAGGCTGCTTTGCATTTTTTGTTTACACCCAAAAACGTATTCTTGAGAAATAATTCATAAATGACAGTCGAATATTTCAAGGAAAACTGTACTATAAAAATGTCTAGCTGCATAGAATAAATTGTATTATAGCCATATAAGTCACCTTCATGTGAATGCCTGCAGTAAAATTATAATAACCAGCTGTCTGTAATATACCATAAAAGAATACCTATTACCCTCTGAATGTGAGCTGTCTCTGCTGCCCTCTGTAGGTCATGGGATGAATTCCACGTGTGTGCCAATGCCGCACTGGAAGGCTGCCCAGACGAGGCAGCAGCGGTCTGGGAGTCCCTGCGGCAGGAGTCCCGGAAGATGCAGTTCTCGGGAAACCTGTATGACATGTGCTCCACACGGGCCCAAGCCCCGCCCAGCCCACTCAGCCCGCCAGACCAGGGCGAGAGCAACCAAGAGTCACTGAAGGCCACCGCGATCCCATTGGCTCCCTCCCACTTCCTGCTGCTACCTGTGGGTTTGCTGCTGCACAGGATATAGCTGGCTGGAGCGCAGGGGGAGGGGCCAAGCGCCAGGTACAGAATCGGGTTAACGGACAGACAGACATGCGCGGGTTCGCGCCTCACTCCCCGAAGGTCAGCTCTCCCGTGGGTCTCCAAAGTCAGCTTGAGCCCCGTAGATCCTGATTCTTACTTGAGCATACGTGCAATCATCCTCTTCCTCTCCATCACATACAGACATGCACACTTACATACACGGATACACGCTCATTTTGTCACCCCTACCGTTATTTATTTTGCAGCCAATTTTACCCAAAGCAGTTGGGGCTCAGGGCCTTTCTCAAGATTCCTATAGCGCAGTTTCCCAATCCAGTCTCCGGGGACCCACAGACAGTTCATGTTTTTGCTCCCTCCAGGGAGCCAGTAGGGAGCAAAAATGTGGTCTGTCTGGCAAGGAGCTGGGAGGGAGCAAAAACATGGACCAACTGTGGGTTCCCAAGTAGTGGACTGGGAAACACTGCTGTAGTGATTTGGCCCCACTGGTTCTGGGATCTGAACCCACAATTTTCCCGACATGGGTGCAGAGTCCTAACCTACTGGGCTACAGATAACACAGACACATACACACTTGTCCTCAGGCACAAACTCAGACACACCCCTAGCCCCACCCTGTACAGCACACTTTGCATGACAGGCTGCAGAGGACACCATACTCTTTGGTCAGTTCTAGGTTTTAAAAGCAAACTTGTGGCAATAACACGTTTATCAATGTCAAATCTCTGAATTGAACTGCAATCAGTTTTATAAAAACTACATAAAATGTGTGTTAATTAAGTAGATTGAACTGTAAATTATCTAAATTTGTCATTGGTATGTGATTCTATGTACACTCAGACCCTTCTTATAGCAACATACCCTATATGGCCAAAAGTGTGTGGATACGACCCTGAATTATAGGCGCTGGTTAACTAAGCCACACCCATTGCTGACAACACAACACAGCCACACAATCTCCAGAAACAAATAATAGCCGCAGAATGAGTGGCTGTACAGAAGAGGTTAGTGACTTTCCGCTTTGCACTATTATATGGTGCCATCTTTCATCTTTTGGCAAGTCAGTTTGCCAAATTTCTGCCCTGTTAAAACTGTGCTGGTCGTCCGCAAGGAAAGTGACAGTGAAGTGCAAAGATTTGAGAGCAAGATTGACAAGCTGCTGTCCTCGTGCTTTTGGCCATATAGTGTGACGTCAGCGGCCAGGTTCTGAAACCCTCAGCACGTCAAATGATATGCAACTTACTGACTTAATGAGTTTTTATGCTAATTATATTCACATCTCTATCTGCATATTTATGCCCAATATCACCAATGTTCCTTGTGCTCTCTTTGGGCTTAGATGATGAAACCTTTACCTCCTTCTTTCCCGGTTAATGTATTAGACCATTCGGATATGTTTTCAAAGCGGTCACAAGATTTGCGTTATACATTTTGTCATTTTTAGTCAAATAAAAGGGACTTTAACTGAAAGTCAGTGTGTTTAATGCATTGTCCCCTCCAGATGTTTCTTAGGGCCGATACTCAGTCTCCCCACTGGGGGGAGCTGGAGCCTATCCAAGGCAGCATTGGGCACAAGGCCGGGGGACACCCCAAATGGGATGCCGGTCTGAGATGCCAGTTCACCCAGTCGCATGTTTTTTGACTATGCGAAGTAATCTGTTGCATTATGGGAAAAACATGCGTTATTCCATCCCAGCAGGCACTGGACAGTCACATTGGATCGTCTTTCCTCAGCAGAATGAAATCTAGCCCTGACTTCAGTCCATTTCAGCGACATCAGCATTCTCAGCGGCAGACACTCATCATTTCTTGTACAAAGATGTCCTGCCGATCTGGACGCATGGACACACTTTCCTTAGTGAGGGCTCTTCTCACAGTAAACCAAAGTAACTTCCTGGTTAGTCTAGGACAGTGTTTCTCAACCCGGTTCTTGGGGACCCCCAAACAGTCCACATTTTTGCTCCTCCCAGCTCCCCAGAACGTGGACTGACTGGGGGGGGTCGTGAGGACCAGTCTAAGCAAATCAAAGTCAAAATATCATTATTCTCGTCTTCAGCTTTATGATGTATGGGTCACACACGAAATTTCTTGTTGGTCACAGTGCAAGAAATAGTAATAAATAGAATATGATAGACATTTACTGACACAAGACAGACAGGAAAATACAGTTAAAATGCAGTTTTAAACATACTGTTTAAAAAAATATACAGCTCTGGAAAAAAATTGAGACCACTCTATATTTTAAAAAAATCTGCATTTTTAAATCCTGGTTTAATCCTGGTTTAATCCTGGTTTAATCCTGGTTTAATCCTGGTTCTGCTAGCAGAAGGCTACACTGTGCGGCAGGTTGCTTCTAGGCTCAAAGTTTTTAAGACGGCAGTACATGAGAACAAGAAGCAGGAGACACTGGGAGAGACCAAAAGCCAGCCAGGCAGAGGGCAGGAGCGGCTTGCTAATGGCAGAGACGACCATTAACTTATCCGACAGTTTCGTAGGATGACATCAAGTGACCTTCAAAAGGAACAGGAAACATTAAGTGCAGGTGTGAAGTGCACTGCTAGGACAGTTCATATCACGCTCCTACAAACAGAACTGAAGTCCCGTAAAACAAGGAAGAAGCCCTTCATCAATGAGAAGCAGGGAAGAACCAGGCTGGAGTTTGCAAAAAAAAATGTGTGTTTTACACAGGCGCGTGTCCATGAATTGAGAAATTTCGTGTCCTGAAAATTTCACTGTGGTCTCCTAACTTTTTCCAGAGCTGTAGTTGTGTAAATGGGCAACGGAACTCAATGGGAATGGGAAGAGTAGATTTTGGTTACAGTGCCGAGATGGGACAGGTACTCCTTTAAGGAGATTCAGTCTTAGGCTGGGAGGGGCCAGACTGCTCAGTGGGGCCTTGATGAAGGTGGGGGCCAGATCCAGCCTCCCTACACACGCCTCACACTTACAGTACTGCGGTGGGCACACAGCACAGGTACCCAAAACCGAATCTCCTGCCAGCCCACAGATTATAGCCCGGATCACGGCATGCTGAAGCAGCAGCTTTTCTGGCAGGTTCCCTGGAAGTCGTGACAGTGTTTACAGGCAGAAGCCTTGGCTTGTATTCCCAACCACGGTGCCGTACAACAGCTGACTGGAGATGCCAAGCTTCAGGTGATCAGGCGGCGAGACAGACGGCTGATTGAAACATTGGTGACCTTTGACTCGAGATGAATTTCTGCACCTGAAGCATCGAGCTCCAAAGGTCTTAATGTGAGTGGCACCCAAAAGCAAGGAATGTAATGTGAACAGAAATCGATCAAGTCTGATTCATGTTAACAACAAAGTATGCTATCCTCTTTGTTCTTTTACAAAGGCGACCCCCCTTTGATTCTTTGGGGGGGACACTGAGAAGGATCGACAATGTGAGGAACCTCAATCAAAGTGTTTGGGAAAAAGGTTAGGTTTTCATCATCTGATTCAAGGTGATATTTGGAAGGACTTTGGGAGAGGTAGACTAAATTCTTTAATTGTGGATAGGGGTGATTCTTAAGGCTTTAGATTGTATGGTACAGACACTATTATTAATCTAAAACTGGGAATTTCAGGATGCAAATGTTTATTATTTAATTCCAAACACCATGGCACCTTATTGACCTTAAGGAAAGTTACAGTGATGTCATACATCTTTTCTACTGTGGTTGGAGTATCATGCACACAGTATCATGCTCTACCACCGATGGACTGTAGGTCTGGATCCTAAATTTGTTGTGGGCCCACAGTCCCTTCCTGTCTGACCCGCCATTTTATTCTTTCCAGAACATTCCTCCGCCCATCTATGATGTTTACTCCCATAATTTGTGGGCTGGATTCCAGCATGATAAACAGGTGATTGATCACCTTGGAAGCTCTCAGTGCTCCTGCCAACCCTAAGAAGGCGTCCGTTTATTAAAACGGGACCCTGCGGGTATGAGCTCAGTTCACTCCCCCCGTCATGTTGGTTCTAATGGAAATGGCAAACAGAGGAAGCAGGGCCATTTTTATAATGGACTGAAAATGACATCTGAACCCGGGGGCTGGAGGTGGGGTGCGAATAACCTTTCCGTAAAAGGCTGAGGGATTGACAGGAATGGAAAAGGAGAAGCCAACCGGTGCCCGTAAACACAAGCAGGCGCAGTATAGCTGCTTGCTGCCTTTATTCATATCCAAAGACCCACAGTTACCTGCACTGAGAATCTAAAATTACGATGCGATTTCTTACAGTTAATTCATTCTTCCCTCTTTCCTGGGAGGGAAACTAATTAAACTAAAAATAATTACTGAGAGGATGTCAAAAGTCAATACTCTTAACTACATGACAGGCTACCGTGGTATGTAATATATTACTCGGTAATGCAATGTGCGGTAATCACCAGGTCTGCCGATATAAACCCTGAATCACCAAGTTAATCAAATTAGTAAAGATGAACTCCAGTGAGTTATACATTTCCAGGGTATCAATCCAGCAGCAGGTATATGGTGAAGTATTGCAGTATATAATACAGTTATGAAAAAGTGTATTCCAAGGACATGCTAGTACTGCATAGTAACTTTAATTTCTCCCCGGCTGGCCTGTGAGTCAGCATTTCAGCCTTTGAAGAAAAACCTGAGGTTATAATACACAAACGGCAATTTGTCCGTGTCGTGTTTGCAGGAGTGAAATAGAGCCCCGCTTCCTGTTATAAAGGGAGATTTGCATTCTCTCTCTCTGTGCCTATGAGCCATTATCCTTGGGGGCTTTATGCTGGCTTCCGTATGGATTTTCAATTAAATATATTAAATATACAGTGTGAGCGAAGCATGACAAAATTGAATTTATTTTGCATGGCATCTGCTGTAACGTGTGGGCTAACGTGTGCTAGCATGTGCTAACGTGTGGGCTAACGTGTGCTAATGTGTGCTAACATGTGTTAACAAGAATTCCCAGTGGAAGCAGTTGGGCTTGGTGAGGCCTTCCCCCAAATGCCTGCCCCGCCGGTCCACCTTGCGCCTCCCCCGCTTTACAGCATGTGCCAATCAGAGCCAGCAGGTGGCATATGCCCAGAATGAGGGGACGCAAAGCTGGGTTTGCACCTTCCTCTTTTAAGAGGCGTCACATGGGGACAGTGGTGAGTCATCCCCGACGGCCACCGTGAGCTCAGGAAAGACGCCTTCCTGGCACACAAGGTGGAGGACAGACCCGGGGTGGGGCTGGTTTGGTTCGGACACCAACACTGGAAGGTCGCGGGTCAGACGTCAGCATATGCATAGTGATTTCAGCATCGAGCACTTGAACAAGACCCGTAACCCACAATTGTTCCAAGGACTGACTGACTCTGATTTCAGAAATATATAGCTGTGGATGAAAGTGTCTGCTACACAAATAAAATGAAAATAGATGAGCTGACAATGCAGAAGAGATGATGGTGGTAAAGTGGAGGAAATGGACCTATAAAATGTGTACAAATATCAGCGTAGAAAGTGTGACAGCCTTTGATTAGGTGACTTTCGTGTCACCTCCATGTGCTATAGGTTCTGCTCAACTACTAGGGGGCTGTGTGTAGAAGCCCCTCCCCATTACAGTGGGGGAGGTAATTGGTTCTGTTAGTCACTTGGGGTTTTGCAGCAAGACCACATTTCAGCAAGTGCATGAAAGTCATTAGCGGTCAGCAGCAGACTGGTATGGAGGTGCGAGGGGCTGCGCTCCATGCGGCTGGGGTCACGGGGGGTGGGCGGGGTCATGTGGGCTGGAGGCGGAGCTACAGAGCTTTGCATGGGGCGGTGGGGGGGTTACCTATTTAATTTTCTTTGTAGTGCTAATGCAATATCTGCTGGACTGCGCCTGACCTCAGAGCAGGTCCCAGTGGAAATCACATCTGCATGGTGCAATTATTAATGGCAGGACGGCTCTCCACACATGGGGAGGGGGGGTCAGCAACTGAAAAGAGGAGACAGGGAGGAAGAGAGCAGCAAAGCAACAAGATGAAGCAGGAGGCAGCGAGAGATGCCAGGAGTCCCAGAAGCCAATGCCATTCCTGTCATGGCGTCCAATTATTTAAATTTAATTTTTATATCAGAATAACATTGATGAACAAGTGCTACAGAGTGAAAGCATGATACAGAGGGGAGGCCAGGGGGACAGAAAGAGATGGATGGCGATCATCTGTATCAGCGGCAAAGGAGATTAAAGCATTAAACCATCATTATGAGGTCAGTCACATCAGGCAAATTCACTTACAAGCTTCTTTTTGCAGGAAAATAGCCAAGTGACTGCCAATGCTCAGTGACGTTATTACTGTACACTCGGGTTTAATTGCCTAAATCTTACAATTTCAAGTGTGTTTTTGTTAACATGTGAGGGACTCGAGTTACATCGTTGCTCTCCAATCTGCTACTGATTTGATAGCCTGGATTTAAAAATTTTAAATACTTAAATATTATATGAATATTTATACTATGCTGTCATTTATTGA